GCCCGGCCCGCGCCCCTGCTGGCCCGGCGCAGCTCCCGTTGCACCCCGGGCACCCACTGCCCCCCAGCGAGGAGGGCACGGGAGACCCTGCGAGGGGAGGGCTGCCAGCTGCGCCCCACACTGCGCCGGGCTGGGCTGGGGGTGCCGTGACAGCAGGGACACAGCGGGGACAGGCTGCATGGGCCATTGCTGGGGTTTTGCAGACCCCCAACCCTGGGGCCTGCCTCCACTCTGCCCTCGCCCACGGCTCCCTTCACACTGTGTGAGGGACACGCACCACAGCCCGGGGCCAAGGGGCTGCCCCAGGTGCCCCCAGGTCCCCCCGCTGAGCTCTTTCCCAGCAGAGCCCAGCACTGATGCTGACGGTTCCCAGAACCAGCTCCTCTTGCAAGGGTCAGACCACAAGCACTGCGTGTGCCAGCAGCGAGGCCCCGCTCCCGGCTGCCAAGCTCACTTAAGTGCTTGCACATCCCTCCCTAGCCTAATGTGTCAGGTACAGGCTGGCAGCAGCTCCCCATGGTGGCTCAGGGTGTCCGTACCCACAAATGGAGGGGGCACCACGCTCCTCTTGGCGTCTGCAAAGCGGGTGCCCTGCTGCTGTCTTGCCCCATCCCCTAAGTGCTCCAACAGGCTGCTCTGCCTGCCCTCCAGAGCCTGCCACCCCCCAGCACCCTCTCACCCTCTCCAGGGTCTGCAGGGAACCAGGGGGAGACAACCTCGTCCATGCAGCCACCCCTCTGCTACCACCCTCCTGCATCCTGGCAGCGCCTGCTCTGGGCACCCACAGTGCAGCAGTGACCCAGGCAGCAGAGCTGGGGGCAGCTCCTGATGCTTCCAGGAAGCCTCCGTGGAGGCAGAGGGGCCAAGCTGAGGCTGGAGGAGCATGGAGAGATGCTGGCATGGGGCAGGGATCTGCCATTCCCTGTGGGAAAGAGCAGGAGAGCTGTGAGCAGCTTGGTGCCTCTATGTGTCCTACCACCCACCTGTGCAACGTGGCAGCGTGAAGGGGCCACCCTGAGAGCTGAGATTCTGGAGCTAAACTGGCTGTCCCCCAGCATCAACCAAATATCCACATAGACCTGGCTCCAGACATAGCCCAGAGGTGTCCAAGCCCTGCCCAAGGCTTGGGAGCCTCAGCTTCCCCATGCCCACAGCCAAGAGGTAGCAGCTTCTCCAGTGCTGGGAAGTTGCTGCGAGCCCAGACTTGGAGCTGTGGACTCAGAGCTGCGGCCGTTCGCTTCCTCCCGGCAGGAGAGCGATGCCCTGAGTGTGGCACAGACCTGTCACCCAGCGCAGATCCCCAGCCTGGGGAGCCCCAGCCTGAATCACAGTTAGATGGAGACAGAGCAGGATGGGAGCCAGGGGCTGGAGCCAGAGCCTTCCTGCTGGAAACCTGAGCCCAGGGTGACTGCAGAGGAGCTGCCTCCTGCCAGGGACCCGCAGGGCTCCCCACCCACCCGGTGGTCCCGGGTGGGCCCTGGGCTGCAGCGCACACCGGGCAGGCGGTGGCAAGAGGGGCTGCGGGGAGCTGTGCTCACTGTGTCCCCACAGAGCCGGCGGTGACATCCCTCCAGCAGCGCCGCGGGGACAGCAGTGTGGAGAGCTCCCCAGCAGCTCAGACACCCAGGAGAGCTAAATGTCACCGTGGGGGGCGGTCTGTGCCCCGGCAGGGAGGCACAGTCCCTTCCCCAACACCCCCACTGCCCCACCGTGTCTGGGGACTCTGCTTTGCCCCACGGCCACGTGCCCCACAGATCCAGGGCAGCTCGGAGGGGAGGCACAGCCGGGAGGCTGCCCCGGGGGCTGTGAGACGTGGGACAGCCCACGGCCCCCGGGGACGGAGCCTGCCCCGTCGAGAGGGGCCGCTGGGCAGCGAAGCCCTGGGGGGCAGTGGGGGTCCTGCTGGGCCCCCGAGCACGGGGACACCCGAGGGGACAGGCAGGCGGCTCCTCTCCCCGGGACGTGCTGCCCCAGCCGGGGGCGCAGCCCACCCAGCCCCGCTCCCCC